GTTATCATCTAGAGTTGGTAGTAGTTGGTCTCCTTCACAGTATTTTTTCGAATGATAGCTTGTGATTTCAATAAATTGATTCTTAAAACCTTGAATACAAGGCATTTGGTAATTTGAACTATTAATTAGCTTGTTTATTTGAACATATTTTACCTCCGAATTGTTATAACATTCTCAGTTTTGAAAATTGACCCTCACAAAGATTTACTGGTGACCTACAGGAAGAAGGCTGAAGTTTTCTTGCTGTAAGAAATTACATCAATAATTGATTGTAAGTGGGACCTCTTTAAAAGGTCAGCTTTCTTCAGCAGCTAAACATCATCTCTTCTGAACACAGATTAGCTCAACAGAATTTCTTTTATTAGTTCCTCCATATATGCAAATCCACACTTGCTTTGTCTTTCTACACAAACGCACAGAGAAACATTGTAATAATTTCAATGTCTGAATAACTATATTAGAAGAACTAACACAAACAGAAGTTAATTTAAAGCAAAATCTGAATCCATTTACTGCAAGGAGAAATGTGGATGGGAATTTTCAAACACCAGAGAATTAAATACCCAAATCCCATTAAAAGTCAACATAGACTGGGTGCTGACTGTCCCAAAACTCTTTTTAAAATTCTTAACTATAATGGCTCTGACTGAGTTACATTCTTTAAGCAAAGGTTGCATGAAAACATTATCCCTTCTTGGAGAAGGAAAAAAAAAAAAGAAGAAGAAGAAAGTATCAACAAGCAAAACATCCTCAAAATATTATGTACTCCCTCCATACACATAGTTATCCCTTAAATAATGGGTGTAGCATATGGTCTGAAAAATATTAACTTTTTTGTACAAAAATTGTTTAACCATACACTGATTCCTGAAACAAATAATGTAAGTATGGAATATCAAGTGAGAAATTTATACAAACACTTCAACAATACAATACAGAAATCTATTCTGAAAATATCTTTAAATAAAAATACAAAAAGGAAGAATGATTTAGTGTCTTTTTTACTCGATATTGTGAAGCTGGAGCCACCTAACAACCCCTAGCACCCCCTTCCCAGGATTATGAACAAAGCACAGCAATGGAAATACCAAGGGGTTTTTTACACATAGGAGATGGTGATTTGGGAGAGTACATAGGAGCACTTGGATATTTACTTATGAAGTGAGTAACACAAGCAGGGTACTGTAGGAAACTGCTCTTCCACCCACCTCCAAGTTTTCAATTTACAGACTTGTAACAGCATATCATCTGGGTTTAAGGGCAGATTTTCTCCCTTTCCCCCTCTTTAGGATGGAATTATCAACACTACTCTGAAATGTTTGGACTAGCCTTAGCACTGTATTGTGTCTATACACCCAGTAATGAAGATGAATCATTCCTATTTTCACTGTACCTGTTACCAATACAATTACTTTAGCATCTTTAAAAATGTTTAAAATAACGCTGTATTTAAAGTCAATTCAGTGAAGCTATGATACACAAATAGTAAATATATCCAAAGGAATAACCATAGTAGCAACATTTCAATTTCCATGGAAACCCTACCTAGAACACAAGATACAAATCCTAGATGAATGTTAATCTCTTAAATCTATATAAATTCACACTTTGAAGACACAGTCCACAAAGAAAAATCAGACTGCAGTATAAAGCACAAATATTCAAGCAGCAGAACTGCTGGTGCTCCTGATGCACAGAACTCCTCATGCTCAGCCTGTAAAGCATCCTTCACAGCAGGGGAGCTATGCTAATAGCAGCATCTAGAAAACAACACACCATGACAGTGATGAAAATAACTTGGAAACTGACATCTTCCCATGCAATGGTTTCAAAAGATTAAGAATACACCAAAATTCATCAACAAAAAAATCCCATTTTCCAGCAAGACACTTGTGGCCTGGGGTGGCAGTGCAGAAAGGAGATCTGCATAGCTGTACCCTATTTAAAAAACAACAACAACAACAAAACAATAAACAAAAACAACCCTCAAACCAAAACACAGAAGAAAACAAAACAAAAAAAGCAAAATTGGGGCAAGTTAAGAGAAAATCTCTGATCTCTTCAAGCTCACCCCCTATCAGAGGAGAGTTGTTGGCAAAAGCTGAGGCTTTAGAAATGTATGTCCAGTTAGAGCATTAAAGAAACATCCTAAGACAAGTCATGTGGCAGCTGCATTTATTGCTTCCCTCCTTCAGGAATTAAAAACTATTACAAGGATAACTTTCTAGGGCTAAGAAATAGCATTAATATAACACCACATTAGCCTGGCCTGATAAACTTACATACTTTAAGACCTTTCCGAGAACCCTAAAGAAAAAAAAAACAAAAAAACAAACAAAACAAGAAACCAAACCTAACCCAAAAAACCTCCAAATAAACTAAAACAGAGGTGCCTACTTCATGGACACTCTGCACACCTTGAGCCTTTGAGGTGCAGAATCTGGTAAGTTACTCCTTTTTTCATTGCAGTGAGTACATGATTTAGAGAAGGTGAAAATGAAGCAGGAGTTAGACAACGATCAGGCAACTTTGTGGCTATTGATAATAAAATACAGGAGGACAGAAAAGAGCACTGACAACAAGGGATGTTACTTTGATATGCAGAGCAAGGAAGGCCCTCGTACTGCACAGGCTGAAGCAAAGTCACGATGCAAGTATTCTGAACACTTGTACTGGAAGGAAAGCCATAACTGGGTCAAGATCTAACACCCTTTAAGTACACCGCAAATGGCTAATGCCTGTCCCAACAGGACAATCAATTCCCTCAAATTACACTATATAGAAGAGAGAAGTTTAAACAGATGCACAGACAAGCAGTTCCACTGATAATCTTTTACAAATTGAAGTGATCATCCTGGATTTCTGAAGGAAAGCAATACGTAAACTCAGCTTTTTTCCTTCTTGTTAACCTTCTAAGTAACGCATGACTATTTCTATCTCAGTAATATATTTTCAATTTCTTCTTGATTAATATTGAGCCAATTAGTTTACTCTTAATTGCCAGTGCAATTATAAGAATTTAAGTAATTCTTTACTACACTCATCTGGTGTTTGACACATTTCACATTAAATGAAGAACAGCATACCCAGCTCAGCTTCCAAAGCTAATTTAGATTGGAGGAAAAACAAACAAACAAAACCCCCAAAACCAATCTCCTGTGTTACAACCTGACTGGGCTCCAAATTAAATGGTTTGAAACCTCGCAGTCAGTAAATAACACACTCTGGGTCTGCTTGCCTTGAAACCTAAAAGTGTTAAGTTTTACCTTTGAACACACTACCTTATCAGAACAGATGTGAAAAGTACCTGTGATGTAGAGAAAAGCTAAGCAGAATCAGAGAAATGCACTGGGGAACAGGCAGAACTCAGATTATGTTCATTTCAAGGTTTACATACTGTAGAGAACAAGAACAAATTTGTTCACTTTCTAGTGGGCACAAAACAAAACGGTACTCCCAGTGACTGTGTCACATTTCTCAGTTTTTCTGCAGAAATAACCCTGTTGCAACTATAGTCAAATAAAAGCAAAGGAAAGGGAATACTAAGGTTAAGAGTAACAGATTTAAGCATATGTGGTTAGAAATTAAGTCAGTGTGAACACAAGTACTCTTAAGTTCACCTCAAAACACAAAGGAAGACAAAAACAATCTTCAAGTTATTAGTAACGTTGTAATTTTTATTCTGTAAAGTAAATCAGATCTTGTGTATCTCCATGTCCCCTTGAGAAACGCTCAATCACCCAGTCAATTGCTTTTAACACAGGTTAAAGGAGGTTTAGTTTGGATATTAGGAAAAAATCTTTCACTGGAAGGGTTGTCACGCATTGGAACAGGCTGCCCAGGGAAGTGGTGGAGTCACCAGCCCGGGAGGTATTTAAAAGACCTGTAGTGTGGTACTCAGAGACGTGGTTCAGTGGTGGACTTGGCAGTGATAGGTTTTCAGTTGGACCCGATGATCTTTTCCAACCAAAACAATTGCATGATTCTATGATTCTGAATTTTCAGCTACAATTAATTTTGGAAAGACAATACAAATTGTTTTCTAATTTCTTCAACTGGTTAGCACTGAAGTGCATCAAAGCACAATTTTGTTCATTTTTGTAATGACACAGTAAGACAACAAGAACACAGTATCTTTATAGGATGAAGCAATCCCAAATGAGCAGTATTTAGATTCTCTGTTAACTCTGAAATGTACTCTGTCATGACAGAACTAGAATTTCAGGGTAGATAATTACACCACAGACACGTAGTTGTTGTTAAACTTATAATCATAAGTAATTATCTATCTCAAATACCATCAGTTACACAGAACTTCTGCTGATTAAAAAAACTGATTAAAGGAAAAGGGGGAAAACCAGTTGGATAATCCTTGGTAATATTAGATTATAAAATACAAAGGTTTTGACTGTACTGATAATCTTAAAAAATTACTCAGCACTATCTTAAAAATGACATTGAGACACACTGAGTAAAATGAACCACTATTATTCATTTTTTAAAAGACATGAAGTAAGGTGTGTTCAAGATTGATAGTACAGGAACAATAATACACATAGAATACAGTCAGTCCTAAATTCTCAGTCTCAAATATCTTGAGTGTGTACAACTCTGCTGCAGAGCAGAAATTGTGAACTGATTTTTACAGGTGATAGCATTAATTTATGGGAAACATCATTTGGCTGTCACCCAGCAGAATAAGTTTGGTTGAGATGTCCATTCAGGCAGATGAAGTTAGATACCTGGATCTTAATCTAGACAGATATATTAACATTGTTATCTTTTAAAGATTCAAAGATTCCTACACAAGTACTATAGCTTCCCAAAAATCAGAATCAAAACCTAACAACCAATGCATATATTTAAAATGAAAAAGAGAACTTCAAGTATATATTCCAAAGTTCTAAATGAAAAATGAAATTATGCTTTGATATGCACACACACACACACACATCCACAATAACATCTTCATAAACATACAGCAAGTTTTGAAAGATTACCTGGTAAAAATACCATCCACAACACCAATTGTCGACTCCTCTGCAGGAACATAAGAACCAATCTGTGCCATGACTGTGATCAATGCGACTTGCTTTATATAGGAGCTCTTTCCTCCCATGTTGGGTCCAGTTATTATCATGACCCTTTCACCATCTCCCTGGAAACATAAAACAGGGGTGAAATACATTGTCCTGCACATGGTACTTTTATAAGAAACTTAGTCTGGTGTACGTGTTTAGAGGGATAAGGGATGAATCCTCAGGATTAAGCATTCTGTTTCTAGATGAACAGCTTCCTTCTTTCTTGGAGTTCTCTGCATTTACTTTTCAAGATTTTAGGAAGTCTGAGAGGGATAAATCTTCCTAAGATCTCTCCAGGCTGATGAGAGAGAAGCATTGCAATCAACTTTCATTACTCCTGAGCAAAATAGCCAGAGTGAGGAGGAACCTTCCCTTTCTCCATCAGGGAGCCAAGAAAGCACTCCAAAAACTTTTTGTGCAGTTTTCTTTGAAGAAAGGGAGAAAATCACCAGCTTTCACCATAGCCTGTGCTGTCCTAATTTGGTTGTGATTCTTCTCCAGTTGGAGTTCTCATTGCCCAATGGAGAGATCTGCTAGACAAAGACCTGACCTAGATTTTACACCCATTTGTAATCGCTTGCCTTGGTACAACACATGCACATTCAGACAGACTGGCTACGACAAGAAATCAAGAGAGTGACGAGTTTGGCAACACTTGAGTGCAGTACAGGCATTGTGAGCAGACTGTATCCAATCTGATTGATCACTGTATCTAACCACTGAAATGCTGTGGAAAGTGAAATCAGATGCAAGAGCTTGTCTCAGTTTTAAGACTCCAAATGGTACTGCTGTGTGTCTAAGGCTTCAGAATAAAACTGTCTTCCTTTGGTGCAAGACAATTACTATTACAAAATTAAAACTCTTCAATGAATCTACAAAGTTTTCTCATAGCTTAAGTCAAGACTAAGAAATTAGGTTATCCAAGGACTTTAGACAACTTTTTCTTTCTGCTGGATTCATACAATGAAATTCAACAATTGATGAACTAACCAACTATTCCATTGCCCCATAGGAAGGGCATTAAGAAAGGACAAGCTGTGCATAATGAACATTAGCCACACTACTTAGGAAACTTGGAACTGATCAGGCACCGTGACAACAACAAAAAATCTCCACAGAATAAACATCACAAACTTTATAGATCTCTTTTTTCTGATTGGGCTTTCATTATGTTAACAGGGAAACAAATTAAATTAATATAAAACTATCCCTTATGTCATAATCCAGATCATATAGATGATACATGCAATCAGTATTTATTGTATTTAAAAAGCTGTTTAGCTTTTGCTAAGAAAAACCTGTCCATAATGAAGTCACAATAAAGTCAAAACCCAGAAAATGCCATAATCAGGAATAAAGGATGTATGTAATAAAATGCATGTGACTATAAGGGAACAAAATTCATAATATCCTAGTCTCAAAGGTATACTTTCAATACTGCTGCTAAAACTTCACCAGGGTCACCATTAGACTCAACACAACAGAATTTATAGATACTATAAACAGCATTGAGTTTATCTGTTCAAATCCACAAATTTGCTACATGTGTTTGGCATCTCTTCAGGGTCCCTCCAACCACGTTGTGAGACTGGTGGCTGGTTTACAAAGCCAGCTCTCAGAAGGAACATACACTGTAACATCAGACCAGAGAACCCATCGGCCCTTATGATTGCATGCAACCATAAGCTAACATCTTATTGGAATTTATGGCTGAAGTTAAAAATACTAAAAGAATCCATTAATATTTGGGAAGGAGAGGGGGGAAAGGAAGAATAAGATGTTTACTCCAGGGCACTGCAAGAAAGCTTTTCCTAAAATTAGATATTTGACAACATTTCAGCTGAAAACATGAGAGGAGATGCATTTTCCTCCTGATTCAAGCACATCAGTTTAAACCTGAAGGTATTTTAATAAACTGCATTCCCACCCACCTCTCTCAAAAAAAAGAGAGCTCAAACCAACAGTAGAGGTAAAAGCAACTCTACCACAATCACTTGATTTTGTAATATTCAGGATTTAGAAAGCCAACATAAGACTGGGACTAACGGGAAAGTTAATGATGGTTACTGAATGAAATGCTAAATTTTTTTGCAAGTGCCATCTGTCGCTTGTTTGGAGTTGACAAATAATTTTGAAAACATTGCCTGAAGTACTGCACAATATCTGTATCATTGTTCAGTATAGAAACAGCATTTAAAAGCATTTCCAGAGAAATACATACAAATTTGAATGGTGTTTATCACAGCAATGCTCCACACTGACATCTGTTTCATACCTTTTATATATTTACTGCATGAAAAGGCATTTACATATTCAGAGCAAAGTTGCAAGCATATTTTTAATACTCATTAAGAACAGAAATGTAGTATTTCAAAAAAAGATACAGACAGGTAAATATTTAACGAAAGTGTCAAAAGAATTATGTAATTTAAAAGCCAGATTTTAGGTTTCCAGGAAAAAAAGAAGGAAACAAAATATGCTTATCTGAAACAGATATGTAAAATAAAATATGGCAATGCTTCCTACCCATGGTAATTGCATATTCATAGCAATTTTAGGTAATTTATGTCATAAAACTTAGGTAATATTGCAAAAAATGTTAATAAGTAGCTCCCCACTTCCTTTGACCTCTTGACAACAATACCAAGCAAGTAATAGGCTTGCTACTTCTCAACATCATTCTCTATTGCAGAAAACAGCAGCCAGAGGGAGACTTATGGGTAACATATAGCCTACAAAGTACAAATGGGGGATCTTTATTATATGAAAGGCTTCTTAAAAACTAATGTGCAGTCTACAGAGCATGTACTTGATACTGCATAGTGAAGAGTCAGAGCTCCAAGTCTGCATTGTCAGATTAAGAAAGGCTGTATGAAATTAATACTTCCAGAAAGAAAGGAAAACACCAAGTAGAAAAATACGTAAAAAAAAAAAAATCTGAGGTGTCTTGGAATTAATTTGGAAAACTGAGTCTGCAACCTCAGTTGTTGCTATTTTCTATATTAAAAAACTCCCCAAATTTGAGATGAAGTTACAACAAAATGGAAACTCCTCCTGATGACACTGTTAAAATATAGCCATTTAAAACTTTCCTTTTCCTAATTTTGAAATCACTTTTCTTATCTCTATGCCATTAAGACTGAACAAGGTTGTAAATGGAGTGTCTGGCTGGAAGATAACAGAAAAAGCACAAACCAGATGTGATCATGTCTAGCAATATCTCTCTGAAACGCAACCACACAGACAGTAGTATGATTAAATTATATATTTTAACTTCCTGCCCAAGAAGCATATCCGAGATTCCTTCCCTTGAAGGATTCTGAAGCTCAAACAATATCTCAGTACTTACTGAAAGGTTAGTGGTATTTGGAACGTACTGATCCTGTTCTCCCAGTAGTACATCAATCACAGGGTGCCTCCCATTTTTTATAATTATTTCTCGACGATTGTCATGCACAGTTGGTCTGTGAAAAGGAAGATAAATTAGTTTCAATGTTTATTGTAACTGATTACTTAGAACTACAGTAACTAAAGTCTGCAGGAGGGTCATCTATGATGTAGATTTTTGTGAAGAAAAAAAAATTACAGAAATTAACTACTGCTTATCATATATTTCTAAAGACTTCCTTGGTTTAATCCAGTTACGAAAAAATATTAGAAGATTGGATAAAGAAATTTTAGAGTATTTTCTTCATTTTTTCATTATCCAGGGAATGTTCTCATTCATTTATTTGCATTCTAAAGAACTATTAAGAATGACAAAATGAACAAGCAACAGCAAAACCCCCAAATTGGAGGACAGTCCGGTTTTCTCCCACTCCCACTACTGCACCAACTTCTGCAAACTGCCACCTTTTGCAGATACTTTTCTTATGTTCAGAATTGATCTTGCTGATGAACTGGTCCAGCCTGTTACTGCCTTAACTCCTAACTGGAGCATAGGGAGTAAAGAAGATTGTCCAACTACGCGCATTATGACTAATAACACATTAAACAATATAAACCAAAGACTACAGTATGACAGAGCTGTAACTCTCCTATAAATATTAGCAGCTCTCATAATCTGACAGCAACTCCCAAACATATATTCAAAAGTTATCAAACAATAACTGTCTATAGAATGAGTTCATCATCAAAGCTGAAGTGACAGTACGTTTTTAGAAATTAATATACAAACCAGACAGATCAATACTTAATTTTTTCTGTCATGTCCAAACCGTGTAAAAAGTTTTGTCTCAAATGCTTCCACCTTAGCTACGAATTTGTCTACCTGGCTGCTAATATAACATGTATAATTCTACAGTACATGATTCCATGTCTGAAAAGCTCCATCTCCAAGAGCTGTGTGTTCTTCACAGAACAAAAAAAAACGCAAAAGCAGCGTGTTCCACTGAATCATTACTATGATTTTTGTTCTTTGCAACCTAGGTTTACTTTTTCATCGCAAACCAAAGTGCAGGATTCAATGGAGAGGTAAATGTGGTTTCATGTCTCGGCAACATTTTCCTACACGAGAAGTACAATCACTCTGAAGTAGGAGTGGCAGCAGCTGAGAAAAAGAGAATACCGCAATAAAGCCACAGAACTTTTAGACTGGAAATTAACTGACAATACAGGTGGTCTTCAGAGGGAAGACAAGATGTAGGGAATGTTACTTGATTTTTCTTGGGCTGAAGAATGATAAAGCAATTTGAAAGGAAAATGGAAATAAAATAAATTACATACTAGGAACATAAAGCACTAGGGAAAAAGGTGCAAGCTGATAATGGTGTGGGTTCTTTTATCATAAAGATATTTCCAGCAGTTGTATGCTAAGATGAAACCAATATAGACAGAGTCTTAGGGACAAAGAAAGGACATTTCACCTTCCATTTGCTGGATGGGTAAGTTGTTTGGAGCTGTAATGTGATCATCTGAGAAGGGAGGAGCACGTACCTAGAAGCACTTCCTCCTGTACCTCTCCACTTTGCATTCAAGAGAGGGAGATGACAGCTAAATGATCCATTTGCCATTTTATAATTCTGCCCTCGTCTTTGGAAATAATTCTCTTTTTTTAACTGCTGGAGCCTCGTTCCATGTACTGTGAGACAGGATGTGGTTTCGGGATGCCATGAACCTTGCTGACTGCTTGGTCTGGTTTCAGATAACGCGGCCTGCAGAAGTAGGACTTCAGCCAGAGTAATTCAAAAACTCTTCCCTGCCCTGTGTTCTCACAATCAAGCATGTGTCATGGAGCAAGAGAGAGGGGGGGAAAGGAAAAAAGAAAAAAAAAGTAAATTGCTCTGGAATGTATAACATGTCCTCCAGTCATGTACTACCTTTTCAACAGCATTCCTGAAAGTTTAACAAATTCACAGTCTGCAGAGTGGATACTCAAACATCAGGTGATGATCTCTGGGCTACCTACACCATCATCTTTAGGTACCTAACTTGGCTGCCTGAGGCCCCTGATGTTGTACATTGTCAGTGTAAAGGAAGAGTCTCCCTACACAGAGGTCCTCAGACATCTTAAAACTCTAAGAGGTGCTTACCTCTCTCCAACAACTGTGTGGAGCAGCTGTTCTCCTGACTTCACAACTTATTTACATGGTAAAGTGATAGGAAACAACCCTCACTTCATCCGAAAACATTAATCCAAAATACTTATATCAGTTCACATGAAAGTTAATCTTTCCTTCAGTAGCCTCCAAAATTAATTATTGACACTTTCCCTGCAGCTGAAGTTTCACCAAGTCTCCTTCCTGACAGTTTATAAGCTCTAAGCCACTCTTCAAAATTCAGTTAATTATTTAAACTCTGCACAGTGAATTCATCAGATTTCAGTTTGTTTTCTCTTCTAAGTATACAGAAATAAGTGAGCAATCACTTTTTAAGAGATTTTGACAGTGGCACACAGGATCCCAAGAGTTCAGAAATGATCAGTATTCTCTTTAATGTTGTATAAAAGTGGAAGCATACGTAAGTTGATTTCCCTTTGTCCCCATAGGGTTAATATATAGAATTATATAATGTTTTGTATGAGAATGGACCTTTAAATGTCTCCTACTCCAACCCCCCTGCAGTGACAGGGACATCTTCAACCAGATCAGGTCACTCAGAGCCCCATCCAACCTGACCTTGAATATTTCCAGGGATGGGGCATCTACCACCTCTCTGGGCAACCTGTGCCAGTGTTTCACCACCCTCATCGTAAAAAATTTCTTCCTTGTATCTAGTCTAAATCTCCCCTCTTTTAGTTTAAAACTATTGCCCCTTGTCCTATTGCTACAGGTCCAGATGAAAACTCTGTCCCAATCTTTCTTACAGGCCCCTTCAAGTATTGCAAGGCTGCAATAAGGTCTCCCTGGAGCCTTCTTTTCTCCAGGCTGAACAACGTCAACTCTCTCAGCCTTTCTTCATAAGAGAGCTGTTCCATCAGTGTGATCATTTTTGTGGCCTCCTCTGGACCTGCTCTAACAGGTCCATGTCACTCCTGTGCTGAGGACCCCAGAGCTGGACGTAGTACTCCTGGTGGGGTCCAACCAAGGCAGAGTAGGGGACCAGAATCCCCTCCCTGGCCCTGTTGGCCATGCTGCTTGTGATTCAGCACAGGATACAGTTGGCTTTGGGGGCTGTGAGTGCACATTCCCGGGTCATGTCCAGCTTTTCGTACCCCAGTACCCCCAAGTCCTCCTCTGCAGGGCTGTTTTCAATGCTGTCATCTCCCAAGCCTATATAACAGTGATTGCTTCGACCCAGCTGCAAGACCTTGCACTTGGCCTTGTGGAACCTCCTGAGGTTCACACAGGCCTACTCCTTGAGACTGGCCAGGTCCCTCTCTCTGGATATCATCCTGCCCCTCAGGTATGACAACTGCTTGGTGTCATCTGCCAGCATGCTGAGGGTACACTTGATCCCACTATGTCATTGGTGAAAATATTAAATAGTACTGGTCCCAAAATACATGATTTGCTATATTTCCACAGGTCTTAAATGTTACTAATTCATATAGTTATTCCTATGCAATTGTCCGAGCACTTGCAGTGCAGCCCTAAAAATAAGTTACACACAGTACTTTTCAAAATTCCTGGCAGAGGGAATGGCTGAGGACTAGAAACCAACAGCCCTTGCAGAAGTGTCTACAATAAACCTCAGAAACAGTAAGTGCTGGCCTCTAACACAGCACTCAGCAACCTGAAGCAGTAGCTCAGTGAGAGCTCAGTGCCTCTGGGGACAAAAACCTCACAGCATGGAAGAGATGGATTGTCTCTGTGTAGGTGCAAGAGATGTGGGCTTCTGAGGGAGAGGAAGACCTGAGTTGTAGGGTGTACAAGCTTAGGAGTCAGCCCTGGACCAGCCTCTGGGGAAGCAGGACTTGAGAGTTCATGTCTCCTCTCTGCAGAGAGCAGGGGGGACAGCCTCAGCACCACCAGAGTCCCAGGCTGCAGTGTCCAGTGTGCATGTGTGGGTCTTGGGTAGAGGGAGGTGCAGCCCATCAGATTTAACATGTGATCCTAGGTGCCTTCCTAGCACCATCACTGCTCTGGAAGCTGGCACTAGTATTTACCTATTATTTACCTGTAATACATCTTTGAAACACACTTCATACACCTTAGAATCTTAGGTATTAGAAAGACATCATGAATTCAAACCTTGCTGAGAAAAAAAAAAATAGGAGAAAAAAATTTCCACTCAAAGTCCAACATAAATTTATATATATGTGATTTACCATCTACTAGACTCGGGTCAAACAATAGACAAACGTAAAATGTCAAATTTGAACTGCAACGGTTACAGATTTGCATTAAGCCCAAAGTGTTGCTTTGCAAAATCAGATGAAGTTGAAACTACTGCAAACAATTTCAATAATGCATTTTATCGCAGTACACATAGTAAAATAAAATTTATTTTAAATCCTCTCCTATAATTCCCTGGAAAATCCCAAATAAAAATTAAAAATTGATTACCTGCAGTAGTCTCCTTGTTTAGCCACCTGGGCCAATGAGAACAGACAGTCGACAGTTGCTAGGTGACCAATCGCTTTAGACAAAGGGTGATAATGTTCACTAAAATGGCTATACCAAAACAGGGAAAAATAACACGAGGAAGAAAAGAGAAAAAAGTAATTTCACACAGATACAAATGTACTGTCAAAATTTACCCCATGCCTGCTTCTCACAGGGCTCCTATGGTCTTTAAATTACTCTGAATTCAAATCTCCCAGCAGGGTATTAACTTACAAGACAAGGACACAATCTTAATCAAGACAGACTTCATACTCCTCTTGTAACAGTGAATTATTTTTAAGCACAAATAAGCAGGCAAAATAAAATTAATTAG